AACATGCTAGTCATGTCTTCCAAGTATGTGTTGTTGGAGGTTTCTTAAGTAACAGATATTTACTGATTACTTACTATATGTAGGGTACTAGATATGTTTCCTTTTCATATGGTATTGATAGTTTTCTAAGGTGGAAAGTTATTCCAGTGTTCAAGTATACTTAGAAAAAGTAGAGGAACTTACCCTGCCCCTTAATAAACACTCTGGTAATAGTGGAAACATATGGTACTGGCACAAGAACAGTCAAACAGACCACTGGGACAGTATAGAGAACTCTGATTGATTTATATATGAGAAGTAAATGAGATAAAAATGCCATTACATTGTAGGGACATGGATGAACCTGGAAACCATCATTCTCAGCAAACTGACACAAGAGCTGAAAATCAAACACTGCATGTTCTCACTCTTAGGTGGGTGTTGAACAATGAGAACACATGGACACAGGGAGGGGAGCACTACACACTGGGGTCTGTTGGGGGGAAACGGGGGAGGGACGGGGGGAGGGGAGTTGGGGAGAGATCGCATGGGGAGAAGTGCTAGATGTGGGTGATGGGGAGGAAGGCAGCAGATCACACTGCCACATGTGTGCCTGTGCAACAGTCTTGCATGTTCTTCACATGTACCCCAAAACCTAAAATGCAATAAAATTAAAAAAAAAAAACAAAAAGCCATTACAAGTTGATTAGTTAAGTATAAACTGTTTAGTAGGTGATAAGAGGAAACCTATTCACTAGATGGAGATAAATAAAATTGGGTCCTAGCTGTTTTAAAAGAAGAACCAAAATAATGTAGACAAAACTATAAAATTAATAAAACATAATTTATCTTTGTGACTTAGTATTAGAAAAGTATTAATACCTCAAAAGCTTGAAGTCATAAGGTGAAATTTAATTTGATAATGTTCTCAAATTCATTAGTAATAAGAGAAATCTAAATTAAAAAGTGCTTTTAGTTTATACCAGTTAGGCTGACAAAAGTTAGAAAGCAAAGCTGGATAATGCCACATATTGGCTGGACGTAGGGAAATAGGAGTCTCAAGGAGTGCAGATTAGTGTAGCCATTCTTGAGAGCAATTTGGCAGTTCATCATTTACCTGATAAAATTCACTTTGATCTAACAGTCTGTTTCTGGGTCTGTAAGTAGAGATTAATTCTCACACAGGTTCATAAAGGGACATGTACGGTGATACCATTTCAGCATTGTTTTTGGTGTCTGGCAATTAAAGATGTGAATCTGCAGTGCTGGGGGAGTGGATAGAAAACATGTAGAGTGCTTTGCATCAATCAGAAACAATGATCCAAGTCACTGAAATTGCATACAACCATTTTTTTTTTAACAGATAAATCTTTTAAAAATATACCACAGCAACATGAATAGGTTTTAAAAAATCTAACACAGAATGTAAAGGTAGGAATATATATAAACAGAAAAATGTTAATCAAACAAATTAGAAGAATAACTTCTTGGGAAGGGGAATGGGGATAGGAAATGGAGATGGAAAGTTATGAGTCAACCAGTTAGAAGAGCGGTATTATACAGATGATGATAACATATTATGAACTGAGGAGTATGATTAAATTTATTGTACCCAAGGAATAAAAGTGGGGCTTGGAAACTTATTTAGCAGTGAATGTAAATTGGGTTGGAGTTTAAAAAAAAAAAAAACAAAAAAAAAAACGTAAGAACATAAAAAAGAAACTTAAAATAATCCAGGTACAATGACATGAGGTTTTTCTTTAGGAATGTGGTAATTGGGAATGGAAAACAAAGGATTGGTATAAGAAATACTGCAAAGACATGGAGTCAGTAACCAGCTGAGTAAAGAGATGAGCCAAGTTTTGAATCTGGGTAACTAGGGAGATAGAGATACTATCAATTAAACAGGAGTAACAAACAGAAGATAACCACATTTAACTCTGATGAGATGTGTTGAATTCAGTTCTAGATGAAGTCCATTGGAAGTTCCAGCATTTCATTGAGGTAGATTTTTCACTGTTAGAACATTTATTGAGGATATACTATACGTGTGTGTGTGTGTGTGTGTATCCAGGATATATATATATATACACATGTATGTTTCTATATTTTTGCTAAAACTGTAGTGAAACGTGGTATATGTATATATGTGTGTGTGTGTATATATATATATATATATATATATCTCCTGCTTTGATATATAAGTATACATTTATATATAAACGTATATATATTTTTTAATTTTTATTTTAAGTTCAGAGTTACATGTACAGGTTTGTTATATAGGTAAACTTGTGTCATAGGGGTTCGTTGTACTACTTATTTTGTCACCCAGGCATTAAGCCTAATACCCATTAATTATTTTTCCTGATACTCTCCCTCCTCCCACCCTCTACCCTATGGTAGACCCCAGTGTCTATAGTTTTCCACTCTGTATCCATGTGTTCTCATCATTTAGCTCCCACTTACTAAGTGAGAACATACAGTATTTGGGTTTCTATTCCTGCATTAGCTTGCTAAGGATAACAGCCTCTAGCTCCATACATGTTCTGCAGAGGACATGATCTTGTTCTTTTTTATGGCTACATAGTATTCCATGGTGTATATGTACCACATTTTCTTTATCCGGTGTACCATTGATGGGCATTTAGGTTAATTCTGTGTCTTTGCTATTGTGAGTAGTGCTGCAGTGAATATATGCATGCATGTGTCTTTATGACAGAACAATTTATATTCCTTTGGATATATATGCAGTAATGGGATTGCTAGGTTAAATGGTAGTTCTGTTTTTAGGTCTTTGAGGAATTGCCACACTGCTTTCTACATGGTTGAACTAATTTACACTCTCACAACAGTGTATAAACATTCCATTTTCTCTGCCACCTTGCCAATGTCTTGTTATTTTTTGACTTTTTTTTTTTTTTGAGATGGAGTTTTGCTCTGTCATCCATGCTGGAGGGCAGTGGGGCGATCTTGGCTCACTGCAACCTCCCCCTCCTAGGTTCAAGCAATTCTCCTGCCTCAGACTCCTGAATAGCTGAGATTACAGGTGCCTGCCACCACGCCCAGCAATTTTTTGTTTATTTAGTAGAAATGGGGTTTCATCATGTTTACCAGGCTGGTCCTGAACTCCTGACCTCAGGTGATCTACCCACCTCAGCCTCCCAAAATGCTGGGATTATAGGCGTGAGCCACCACACCTGGCCTATTTTTTGACTTTTTAATAGTAGCCATTCTGACTGATGTGACATGGTATCTCATTGTGGTTTTGATTTGTATTTCTCTAATGATCAGTAATGTAGAGCATTTTTTTCATGTGCTTGTTGGCTGCATGTATGTCTTCTTTTGAAAAGTGTCTGTTCATGTCCTTTGCCCACTTCTTAATGAGGTTGGTTTTTTCTTGTAAATTTGTTTATGTTAAAGCAGGATATTTTTTATTCCTAAGATGTTTTGGCCCTACTATTTCAATCTCCTCCATTTTGATCCTTAGAGTGATGTGACTGGGTTGCCCAGAATTAGTAAGTTTGAAATTATATCAGTTTACTGTTGAGTAAAAACAAAAATGACAAAATGGTTAAAACATCCCAAAGAATTAGATCTGTAAAATTTCACCTAAGAAACCAGATTTAGGTTGGATGCAGTGGCTCATGGCTGTAATCCCAGCGCTTTAGGAGGCCAAGGCAGGCAGATCACCAGGCCAGGAGTTTGAAACCAGCCTGGTCAACATGGTGAAACCCCATCTGTACTAAAAATACAAAAAGCAGCTGGGCATGGTGGTGCACACCTGTAAGCCCAGCTCCTCAGCGCCTGAGGCAGGAGAATTGCTTGGACCTGGGAGGTGGAGGTTGCAGTGAGCCAAGATCACACCTCTGCACTCCATCCTGGGTAACAGAGCAAGACTCTGTCTCAGAAAAAAATAGAAATCAGATTTAGTATAAAATGGCAGAAAATCATCAAAATTTATTCTGAACTGAAAAATGAATAGGTGAATCAAAATTTTGTTGTAAAATTTACTCTAGAAGAGACTTGATATTGTTTTCAGTAGTTTCAGTAAAACAAAATTGAAAAAGGAGGGGGAAAAAAAAAAAAGAAACTTTGTGCCAAGTAGAAAATTGCTTTGGGTATCAAGTCATCTTGATTTTTCTATTGTTCCAGAAAATGCTGGGTTCCTGCCCCACTTGACTGAGGTAGACTTGAATCTTTTAAATTAGTTTTAGATTATACCAATACTATGTGAATATATTCTCATTGTAATGTATTTAGATTTTATAAATAAAAGTGACCCTGTGACCCTGTCACTTCCTTCTCCAGAGGTAATCACTATTTGGAATATATCCTTTCAGACATCTTTTCTCTGCTTTTACAAATGTGCGTACAAAAAATAAATACTGATTTGTGAAAATCTGGTATTCCCTGTATAGTATGTAATTTTTAAATGTATAAGTCTCGAATATCTTTCTACGTCAGTCACATTGGATCAAATGTTTGCTGGATAAAAATGGAGGTTTTATAATATCCTTACTGGCTAGGTACTGTAAGGATGGGAGGAGAAAGGAATACAGTTATGTTTGCTGCTCTCAAGAGACTCACAGAAGAATTAAAATATATAATCATTATAATAGACAGTGTTCTAATAGAGATATGTACTAGGTGCTGTGTTGGTACAGAGGAAAGAGTATCTACTCTTTGAGAAAGAGGTGACTATGTTAGGGAGTGTTTAGAGATGGCGAAAGAGATTTTGAATCAGTTTCTAAGAATATTTTGCAGGTCAAATGTGTCTTGGAATGATTGAGTAATTTGCTCACTTCATTCTTCTCTGTCTTGTGAACTGCATGCCACCTTTGGCCAATAATCAATCTTTTTGGTATCTTAAGCTGTGGTTCTAAAAGCAAAATCTTTATCATATATGAATGTCTTTAAGAATTTTGACAGCTTTAAACAGTGCCAGAAATTACTTCAGTTAATATTTTTACATTTCATCTTGCAGAGGATTATGTGAATTTATTGTTTTCCTTCTTTAGGGAGGTGGTTGACTCAATGGTTCAGCATTTTAAAGTAACTATATTTGGAGACCGTAGACCAGTTTATGATGGAAAAAGAAGTCTTTACACCGCCAACCCACTTCCTGTGGCAACTACAGGGGTAAGATATGCATTCCTGTATTAGAAAGGTATATTTTTAAGTGTCTTCTTTTACACACATTTATTACCATTTTTATTATAATCCATATATATGTATTTATCACTGATTGTTTTTAACTTTTTATTTTGAAATAATTTCAAACTTACAGCAGAGTTGCAGGAATCATACAGAAAATTTTCATATACCCTTTACTTAGATTCATTGAGGTTCTGAATGTTTCCACATTTGTTTTTTTTTTCTTTCTCTCTTGTACATACATGCTTATTTTTTCATGAACCATTCACAAGTAGGTTGCATACACCATGCCCCTTATTTATTTATTTATTTAAGACAGGATCCCACTTTGTCACCTAGCTGGAGTGCAGTGGTGTGATCTTGGCTCACTGCAACCTCCGCCTCCCAGGTTCAGGTGATTCTTGTGCCTTAGCCACTTGATTAGCTGAAATTACAAGCACACAATACCATTCCTGGCTTTTTTTTTTTTTTTTTTTTTTTTT